CTAATGAAAATAACGCAAAATATGCGTTACAGAAACAAAATTACACAAAAGTTTGCAACTTTGCTATTTTAATTATCTTATTTTGTACGTCACTCAACTTTCTTAAAAGTTCAAACTTAAGTCCGAAAACTCAAATAGATCGCTTTACTTTAGACTTGACTTTAATCTCGAAATTGCAGAAAGTAGCGTAGTTGCATGATTGTTGAACGTTTTTATTTTAGTGACACAAGCGTGTATGTTAAACATCTACAAATTCAAAGCTCCGATAATTCTCAAAAATTTTATACAATAGTTTTTCTTTTTCTCTCTCTTTTTTTCTCAAGTTTTCCATTGTTATTAACACAGCAGCTATAAATTAAGTGAAAATGGAACAGTGGTGTCAGACAGCACTTTAACTTGTCAAAAATACAGAAGCAAAATCATATCTGTTTTCTCGTTAACAAACATAATTGACATGCAATCCATCATAATTGATCGATTTACGATTCGCCATTGGTTTATTTCGCACGGAAGAATGAAAAGAACAGAAGAGAAAAGGATAGCCGTAATCCCGAACGCCGAGGCCTTTCGTACGGAGAAAAGTCCATATTACATTTTCGAAATACACGGAATCTGGTATTCTTTTTACGGCGGGATGAAGGAATGATAGATAGTATCGCGGAGCTTCCAGTTATCGGTTACGTGCAAAAGTTTGTCTCATACGTGCGCAGATATCCTGGCTCGTAGCCATGCCGACGCGCAGGATTGATGAGCTCCGCGGCCGGATATTGTATCCGAAATAAGAGATACCGGAAAGGATGTCACTCCGGCCCGGACGGAGTTACAGCCGTTTACGCCGCCGCGTGCCGGTTTACTTCTTCTGGTGTACGACCGGATTACAAGGTTACTACGGAAAACGCGCTTGCATTGTTCATGAGTGTAATTCTGGAAAACGGCTTGGTCGCCGTCGTCGGGAGCAGTCGTTTTTACGGGTCATCGCGGCGCGTATTGATCCCTCGATCTTAGATAGAATCGTTACGTTTATTTTCAGGAGGAACCCCGAATGCCTCTATCAATGGTAATACGCGAACGTGCGGGGATTCGGAACTCGTTTTATCCACTATCGTTTCTACCTTGCACTATCTCCCCCCTTTCTCTCTCTCTCTCTCTCTCTCCGTTTCTTTGTTTATCTCACTGGACCTATTCGCGCGTTCGAATCTCTCCATCTAGATTTACATAGATCCCCGGGTCAGACTGAAGATTACACATCCGGATACATTGCAGCCGAACCGGCTTCTATGAAAACAAACCAAAAATTTATATGCTTTCAAAATACAAGCCTCGCGCCTCGAAAGAAATGAAAGAATACACAGTAGATTTAAATTGCGCACTATATTAATGATTATTTCTCCGCCGTAGATGCGATCTATTTCGAGAATGAAACAGAGATTGAAAGTTAATAGCATTTCAAACAAAAAAACAGAAATAAAATTTTGATCTCTTCCGAATGTGAAGTCAAAATCAATAAAAGTTGAAACTCAATAAATGAATAAAAAAACTCTAAAATTTCATTTTCAGAATAGAATGTTATCGTTGTGCCAATATATTAACATATAAATAAACGTATAATTCACTTAAAAAAAACAACTTTTGTGTTTTTCTTTCGCGTTGTTTTAATATTACATCGTATGTCTTTTGAAAACAATAAAAACAAAATAAAAAATACAATAAAGAAGACAAAAAAATCTATCAATATTTGTTGATATTTTAAACGGTTTTTCGATACACAGGGAAGTTCTGTAATAGCGGCACAAGGTGCACTTGCAGGCGTTTTCTTGTGTACACGTGTTGCGCGGAATATAACTGTCTCGTAAAGAAGAGATTTAAGTTCAATTAAAATTGTATTACGACCGTGTTCTTCATAACAAGACTGACTGCAGCGATGGATTTTGTATTCCGTTTCCTTTCAGAATAATTAGCCTCCCGGTTCGATTACCGGCGATACTATCGATCCATAACATCTTTGCGTGCTGATCTTTATTTTCCATTTACTCGGTTTACTAGAAATCAGATTAGATTGCTATTTGTGTGTGGAGCGAAACACGGGGGAAGGAAGGGGAGAGTGTACTCATTATTTTTCATTGTAGTTTCTCCGGCCGGTATTTTTAACACGTGATTTATAACGTCAATTTAATCTTTACCAATTTCGCGGTGCACTCGAAAGATTAGTTCGCGGAACGCGTTATCTGCAGACATTTTTGCCGATACAATATAGTGTGGTAAAATAGTACATACTGTAGTCCTTTTGTCTATAGCCCTAAAATTATGGATTTTCTATAATAAAAGTTTATTTATGAAATTAGAACTCAGCCTACATAATGGAAAGTGGAACTTTGCCATTATGACCCGTGTGTGTGGATCATATCCAAAATTGCCGCAATCGATTTTAGCCGTATATAAATGCTTGCGTGCTTTTACTTATTTATACTGTAGCGATTATTAACTCATTCTGTATTCTTTCAATAATTTAAATTTTCGTGCATTGATGTTGTCGTTTGTTGTAAGTACAGAAAATTTTGTCGCAATCTCTAATATATGCAAGGCAGTTTTTTTTTTTCTATAAAATAAACTCACGAACACACAAGGTACGGTAGAATGTATTCTACGGTAATGATCAGACTGTAAGGAAAGAAACTTACATAGGTACACCTTTATTAGAAAATAGACGCGTAATGAGAGAGAGAGAGAGAAAGAGAGAGAGAAGAGAGAGAGAGAAAGAGAGAAGTTAAGAACTTGTTTACACGCCTCTACTTAGTGTAGACGAGAAATTCGGTTATTTGAAGGTAAATGGCGTACCTGTCGCTTTCACAGAGCTCTTTTGAATACAGAAAACTTTAGGAAGAACGCAGAAAACCGAGAATAAAAATTTTTATTCAGCTTTTTTTCTCGTTTTTTTTTCGTATTTATAAAAAAAATTCATTACAAAAAGATGAATTGGGTGACAGAGTATTAAGAGAGATATTGCACAAAGTTTAGGACAAAATGACATTTTGCACGATATGTTAAACAAGATCTCTGTCGCGGTTATTAGTTACGTGATTTATCGTACGTGGAAAAAAATAATCACATTTATCTGCTGCGGCAGATACTATAGCGGCAATAATATTCGTTTGTCCGAACTACATATATCGGACAGGTAAGATGAAGAGGTCGTTCTATTACACACGGCTGTGTGAAATGCGCAACAGTGACTGACGATTCACGGGGTACTCATTGCACTGACGGACGTGCGCAATGTATCTAGTCTTCGTGAACGACCGCTATCGCTTGTCACGGCTCATGAAGCGGGCAAATCGCGATAATTGACGGATCTTACTCATTCGTCCGACGGGAAACTTATGGCGCTTTGCAGTTAGTTAAAAAATTGTCGTCTATTTCCGTAACTCTCTTTTACGGAAATAAAAGTGTAAATACAATAGTGTTGTTCAAACCTTTCTGCACCTTTTAACTTCGTTTGCTTAACATCCTCTCGTCGCGCTTTCGGATGTTGTTGAAACCTTAAAGAAATGGGTTTTTAGATTTTTTATCTCAAACTCCAATAATACTGTAATGCTACTGTCTAACATGTCATTACCCTGGCAAGAGACCTTTACAGGTTGCCACTTTCCCGGTTCAAGAGGAGCCTGAAATTCGTCCCGGCAGGGTCGTTAAAACCCTAAACAGGATTATATCTCGAAGGAGATATTCCTATCGCGCTATCGTGTTAGTTAAAAATTTACTGGAATATCTGAAAAAAAAATATCGTTAATCTAATAACAAAAATAAACATAATTGAAATAGTTTGCAGATAGCTGCTAAATTGCTGTTAAATTCGGCGATAGATAACCAAAACGTAAATGCGCATGCGGAAATTATGCGGAATCATGTTTCGGATAATATGCGCATTCAAGTTTCAAATTTAATGTTTTGTGTAAACAATGATCAAACTGTGGTTATTATTTGATAGCATTTCGGAGTGTTTCGTATCAAGAGTTTGCTCGAAACGTGAGTTAAAATTCCGAATGATCTCACACTTCGCTCGTCTTAATGATATCTTTAATAAAATAACAAGTATCTTTTGAATAAATGATCGCATGTGTTTCGAGATCGGTTTGAAAATTAATTTGACTAATGACAACCACATTAGCCGAACTAATTTATAAGACACTTACGAGCCGAAGTAAAATGGAATTATAGCACGCGCAAAATTAGAATTATCAAGTGTAAAATGTCGAGAGATGACATCGATTCTCTTAGGTGAGAAATAGTTAAGTACATATTAAATTCTCGACTGTGTAGCGTGATGATGCACATACACCGTACTATAAACTGCTGCTAACTTACTTCGTATCATCACGCGTAGTTTCGTAAGTATACTATCTCGTCTCTCTCGCAAAATTTTCTTTGAAGTAGTAATTGGCTTGCTTGTTAATGGCCTTTTAGAAGTTTCTAAGCTTGACGAGCGCGGACCGTCTATAAGGCTGAGCTTAATGAAAGGAATTCTGTTACATATTGTACAAACAATTCCATCACTCTACCGAAATGATAAATATCTCGCTGCTATAACGAACCCCAAAAATACTTTAAAGATCGATTACGTTCGAAAGCAAAAATAGTGTAGAAAAAAATTCGTTTTTTTTTTTTTTTTTTCAATTGCTCCGAAATATCATTTACTGACCGTCCGAAATCGTCTGCTAATTGTTCTCTTTCGAAATCGAGCGCGTTGTAGAATTATAAAAACGCCGAGCTTTAGTCCTCGCTTGACCCGCTTACGTTAACTCGCGCTATTCACGCCGAGTTCCGTCGAGTACTTTGCAAACTTCGGCGCGCACGTAGGTGGGCTATAAGTATAAGTACTAGTAAGTAAGTAAGAGAGTAAGTAAGTAAGTAAGTAAATATGTATGTATGTATACCGTCAGGTTACGTAGAGTGTGTGTTGGCACGATGGCGTGATACTCAAGTCGCGGCGTTACGTGTTACAGATTTACCCAGATTCGGCAAACCGTTGAACAATCTCACAGTCTCTGTGGGTCGCGAGGCCATTTTCGTCTGCGTCGTCGAGGACCTCGGACCGTACAAGGTGAGACGCACATTACACATCTCCTCCGACCCCACGCTATTTCCACGCGCGGTTGAAGCCCTATATATCGGCGTTACTGTGTGCTTGCAGCTGCAATTGCATGCCGCGCTGCGCACGGTGATGTGTCCTCGTGGAAATCGAAACTGGGTTTTGATATGTGATATACAGAGAGCGAGTAGTGTGGATTTCACATGTCAATTTGTAAAACGAATTTACTTATCGAAGTTAGAAGAATTTTCTTTTTTTGTTTTTGTTAAATTCAATATCAAAAAACGTAACGAAACTTTATGTGCTAATCCTTTTTTTTTGTTTTTCGTCCGCGAAGAAAAGAGCTTTCCGTACGAATTTTCGTTCTGGTGTAATTAATATAAATTTGCCATAAAAGTTTTCATTTCTCTTGCCGACGTTATGAATATAAATAGAAAATGTGTGAAAGACAGTGATAGAGAGTGAAAAAGTGAGAAAGAGAGAGAGAGAGAGAGAGAGAAGATAACTATATATTTTGCTCTATATTATGCTATGCAAATATAATCTTCATCTCTCGTCGAATTACGAAATCATGTCAGTGACTCTCAAGCCGACATGTCGCGGCTGTAAATTGCGATTTGGAAAATTGTCGTCAAGATGTACACGCTTTGAAGAGACGACGACGCGACAGGCGACGTCATTACCGAGCCACGTCGGCAAAGTTCTATAGGGACGGAAAAGTTAACGAACGGTACAAATAAATTCAAAGCGCGGGGATTGGACTAGGATCACAGTGCGTATCTGGGCAACTCCATTTAAGTAGAAATAAAATCCCGCGGGGTGTGAGTTCAGCAGTTTGTTAAGCGGCTCTCCGGGTCTCTCTCTCTTAGCCGCCGCCGCCGCCGCCGTCGTCGTCTTCCCAGCCGATCGTTTCCCCGTCGCGCGTCTGTCTATTTCGTTTCCCTCGTTCTCTCCTTATTTCCCGTTCTCTTCCTCTTCCCAAGCTTCTCGAGCTTGGAGGAAAAAGCTCTGACGCTCTTTCTCGGGAAATACATTTTCGTTCCTCTTCTGCTCTTTCGTCCTGCGCGAATTGCGCTCTCTGTGTAAGAGTTATAATTTTATAGATAGCGGCCAGCTATCGTGCAAATATTTTCGCAATAAAAAAGCGCGGGAGATTGTTTTATGGCGCAGCGATATATGCATATGCGCGATATATGTATATATGCGACCTATGTATATGTATGTGTGCGCGCACGTGCGTTCGAACGGAATCGATGCATTATCCTTACGCGGTTGGTCAACGACACCTCTGCGGAAATGAAAACGCCGCGGGTCGCGCCTCCTCTGCGGCAATACTCGGCGCAAATATGATAAAAAAGCGCATATACCACTTTGCCATCCTCCCTCTTCCCGCAAAGAGTCGCACATCCTCGATAATCGATACCAATGACGGCCACCGCGGAATTAACGCTTTCTTAATGCAAATAACTGGCTTTGGCCACGCGGCGGTAACCGATATCGCGTGATTGGCTGCTCTTGTCGCGATTTTTTTCTCGCGCGTCGCTAATAAGTTATTAATTTTCTTTGACGGAATACATATGTACACGTGAATTAAATGAGGCGTGAATTTGTATCGTTTCGTCGGGCGGATAAAATGGGGGATACTTTACTTTCAAATGATAACGATGCGAGGAAGAGAGCTTGCATTAGTGTCGCTGACATCGAATAGTTTATTTATATTTCAACTCGCTTACATGAGTAATGGTGGACTTTATAGCGAGTTCTCTCCGGAACGTGGCGCGCGTCTCAAATATTTTCCGCTAATAATACAGCGCGTCTTATTACAACTCTCGCGCGCGAGAGATGTTACTGTCTTGAATAGCGCATGATGATGACACCAATCTCTCCGCTAATTAGTAAAGAACATGTCATTTTCCGCGCTAAGCTCTTCGCTTGCTCTTCAACGCGGTTAATTTATATAATATCTCATGATATATTAGTTGTGCGATTCTTGAAAGAGTGGATGATATAAATATTTTTGTCCCGCGTTTTTTAGAAAAAAAAAAAAACAAAAAACAAAAAAACTATTCAAGAATCGGTCGCGCTTGTAACTCTGTAATATTTTTCATTTTCACCGCGTGTCTTATGAGACGCGCGGAAATAAGCCGCGTGCTTCGGGAATAAAACGATTTATGTATTATCTCGTCTCCGCGGCAAATTTTAAAATTTCATTAAAGAGCCGAAATTGCTTCCCACGGAAGTGGAAGCGCTAAGGAAAGGCGGCGCGTTCCCCTTCGCGTCCTGCGGTGAAGTATTTTTACGGTCCTAAACCTAATTGAAGCCATGGGCGTTCTTGAAACCCGGGGCGGATTTCGCGAAGATTAGTGCGCGTGGGAGGGATTTTTCTTCTTTTTAAATAATCATGATTTCCAACACTTTGTCAGCGCGTCTATTATTTTTTATTTCGTTATATTTGGCAAAAGCAAAGCCGCGCAATATACGGGATACAATATAACTTGTATAATATACGCAGAATGGACATTTAAACAGAAATGTCCCGTTTTATATATAATTGAAATATGAAAATTATTAGTATGTTTATATGGGAGAGTATGCAAAGTTTATTAGCATTCATAACAACGTTAAGATGTGATTAAAAATTATGCCGTGTTAACTCCGATGAATAAATGTATCCTCGAAAACGTAATATTACCGGATTACGCGCACACGTAATAAACGAGAAATATGAATAATAATACGGCGAATATTGATTATTTTATATTCCGTACACGCTCACGTTTTCCACGATTTTCCATACGTATAATTGGTTGGTTGCGTAACTTCTACCTCAAGCGTTATTGGCCCGTGTCTATTGGCAAAACGTCTCTCCGTTTATATTGTGAGTGTTTGCAACTGCCCCATCAGATTACGAGTTTGATCTCGCAAGAGCCAACCGAGGCTGCCAAATGTTTGTACACCGTCACGTGCCATCTAGTGTGTTCCGCTGCGAACGAAATGTGTAATCTCATTTCTCAGACAAAACTTTGTTTTCTTCGAAATTGAGTGTCAGAAGTAGGCAAAATTTTTCACCGCAGGATCTTATTTCACGAAAAGTAGCATTTTTTGATGCACTAGCACAACACAGGCGCGCGCTACGCGCATGTTATTATTATTTTTATTTTAACGTGTGTCAATGAATACACCCGCGATGACAGCTAATATATACGTCTTACAAACAATATAATAAACATATGAGAAATGTCAGAAATAACACATGAAAATCAAACTTAAAAAATAGTGAAAAAGAGGAGTGAAAAAACACCATGTAACTAAAGTCACATGACATGGAAAAGGGTAAAAAAAAGAATATTATATATATTATATGTAATATTCTATATTTATATATAATACACACACATACGCATATATGTATATATATACCGTAATAACGTGACCGAAGTCAGTAACACCACCGCGGTCGCGCGGCCGAGGTCAGTGACCCCGCCGCGGTCGCGCGACCGAGGTCAGTGACCCCGCCAAGGCCGCGCGGCCGAGGTCAGTGACCCCGCCAAGGCCGCGCGGCCGAGGTCAGTGACCCCGCCAAGGCCGCGCGGCCGAGGTCAGTGACATTACTCTGTAGTATGTATATAATACATATAATACAATATAAAGTATAATATTATAAATATATAATAAATTATATGTATTCTATGTATTATTTAATGTTATATATAATATAAATTACAGTCACGTTATTTTTACGTGTTGTTTTTCTACTCTTTCCTGTCACGTGACTTTAGTTACGTTTTTAATTTTCTCTCTACATATACGACAAACTGTCTCACAAAATCGCTTTTATTATTTACTCTCTCGATCTTACCAATTCGATTCGACTCGATCAACTAACCAACCAATCGGCAACGCGGAAAAGAGGCAAAAATAGGTGCGATATATTCGACTCCAAACGCGCACTTCTTGGTCCAAATGCTCCAAATCCAAAATTTTTTAATATAGGATTACGCGCATATTTATGCTAAAGTAAATATGCAAATTTGAGAATTAATAATTAACAAAAAATACGAGACGGGAAAAGATATATATATATTTTTGTAAATATATATATATATATATATTTTATCTATGTTAAAGCTGGAAATTAATTTTAGCTAATTTCTCAACGAATTTCGCGATTTCTTCTTGTAACAATGCGCGCGGAAATTTTACAAAACCTCGGACGTATATACCTCTGAAGAGAGTGTAATATATATTCACGATGTTCATTCCATATTAACAGGGAGATGTAAAGCACTTGACGCGATCTTAGACGAGCTGTTTCACATCGAGTATAATGCGCGCCTCTTACGACTAATATTCTCCCGAGAGAGAGAGAACTCTCGAAATCATTACGGCCTGTTGCAAACGTATTGTGCACTTCCTCGCCGTAGCATTCGGCAAATTGCGCATTTACGGGCGCTCGGCGCGGAATATTCCACAATCCCCTGACGATCCTTGATTACTCGACGGTCCTTACTGACACGGCGCGCGATTTCCCGCACATATCTGATGTCGGCTGTGACGGACTTTAGATCAAGGCGCGTTTAACGTTAGAATTCCGGCGCGCCGATCCTTCCCCAGCAGTCAATGGTCGCAGGAGCAAGAGAAAGCTCATCCGCCCGCCGACGATCGACGTAGATGCACGACCTCAAGCTCTGTGATTGTTCGTGCAAACAAGCCGCAGTATTAATTATTCGCGATACCGGCGGTTGCATCGAACGGACCCGGCAGAGTCGGCCGGATATCCCGACGAAGAAGCCGGTTGTTCCGGGAGTTACGATCTTGTCGACGATAATTCCCAGGATCTCCGGGGAAAGGGAGAATTGCGAACTACGCGAGCAGCACACAGCTGAGATTTCCTCTCAAGAGTAACGACGCGTCAATAACGTCGCTGCGCTTCTATTTCGTTCCGTTCTGTTCCTTTCTCGCTCTGTCTTTTCTCTCTCTCTCTTTATCTATCTATCTTTCTCTTTCTTTTT